CAAATATTATCAATTAGATATATTGTCGCTCTTAGATAGTTCTAAAGGATAGATTAGTTTGTTTTTCATTGAAATTAATTTCTTTTAAAATAAATACAATAGTCATTATTATTGATTTTCAAATTTATTTAAGATGTGAAACATGCAATTGAGTAATAAATATGCATTAAAATTTATAACAGTTGAACAAATCAATTAAATAAACCCTAGAGCTTTTTACATCATAATATTATTTTCAATCTTTTAGAATTATTATCTTTTATTCAAATATTTTTATTCTTAATTTCTGAAATTATCTTTTAGTTTAATTTTTCATTATGACAACTCTTTTTGTTGGTTAACATAGTTTTTGTGTGAAACTATGTGGGTTTAATATCTAAAACTACATTATAACAACTGTTTAACTAAAGTGTATTAATTTTGTAATAAAGCATCATGTTGCATGGACATATAGGATTACAAAATAAAAATTATAAAAGACCGTCTCTAGTATTAAAGGATTCCCTCATATGGAATAGTTTAAATAATATAGTTTAAATTATATAATATTTTTTATTATAAAAATAAAAAATAAAGTTGTTTTACCATTTAAAATGTCAAATTTACTAGTAAAGTTATTTAAATATTTTTAATAAATCTCTCTTTTATATTAATTTATTAAAAATATTTAAGAATATATGTGATATATTATATATATTATTTATTTAATAATATGTTATAATTATAAACTTATTCTATGTAACATTATAATTATAAGATTATCAAATTATTAGGTTTTTTGCACCTGAACCTCGTAGTTCAATGACTATAAATCAACTTATAAAAGTGTATCCCTTCAACATATGGGGTGTGGTTCGAATCGCTATACTCCTAATTGTAAACCCGTTTAAAAAAAACAAAATTACTAGGTTTTTCTTTTGAACGAATGTGAGATTGAATTGAACCGAGTCTTTAGAGTTGTAAAATTAATTTTGTTGAAAGTACTAAGTTGATGTAGAAAGTGCACCTTTAAGATTGTTTGGAAAAAAAAATTAATTTTGAAATATACAAAAACTGACTTGAAAACATCTTCACAATTAATACGTAATATGTTAAATTAAAAAATGAACTAATAAGTGTCCAATGATACACGGGCAAATATTGAGGATGGAAAAATTGTCCCAATGATATGGCATGCCAAATTTAAACTCTAAAACTCTAAATCATAAATTTTAAATTATTATGAATTCTAAACTCCAAACTCTAAATTCTAAACATGGCAAAGTCACATCTATTTCACTATTTCAGCTATTTTTCTTTTATTTTGTGTATTAAATATTCAAATGTGCATCTTCGTTCTAAGATTTGGTCCAAATAATTCATCTCTTTTATTATTTTTAATTTAAAAAGAAATCTAAGTTAGAGTAATGGGAGAGGAGGCAAAGTTACAAAACAAATTTATGAGATAAAATGTTACGTAATTTCTTCTTAATTTTTAAAGGATTTTTCTAATCTTTATCATTGAAACACAATTTAAGGGTATATTTATTACACTTTTTTTTTTATCATTAATATATATAATACAAATAAAAATTAACATTGATTTTATTAATTGTCCAATAAAAATATCCACATAGCATAGATATTGAAATTAATGCCTTTTTTTTGTGTAAATTAATTCCTTAAAAATTATATTCAAAACTCCTTAACTTATGTCTTTTAGACACAATTTAGACAAACTCATCTTTTAAATATAAAATAGAATGTCATTCTATTTTTGCTCTGGCCTCTTTCTTTCTTCTAAATTTTTATTCCTCTACATTTTTTGCTCACCTTCTACAGGTATGATTACAGTTGAATTCTTGGACCATATTATTTCAACCCCAATCCTCCTAATGCAAATATCATGGTTGTAGTTTTTAACATTAAAAAAAAAAAAAAACGGAACCCTAGAATTAAATCGTTGATCTATTCCTAGCAAGTAAGAGAAGAGGGTGAAAAGAGGATGATACAAGTCATAATGTTTGGATTAGTAGTATAGATGAAATAGAATTGGCATTTTTAAAACACATGCCACCATTTTGTGCCATAGATAAAGAAGGAAAATGGCGTTTATCCATTCCATTTCCTCAAATAATTTGTCATGTCAATTCTATTATTATTCTTCCGTTAACAAAAAGTACTACCTAAATATAGAAAATATTTGAGGCAAAAAAAATATATAACAAACATTTAATTAAAAATATTGTACTTAACAGTGGCATTAATTAGCCTTTTGCCGAAATGTTTGACTTTGATTTTTTTTATTTTCGAAATTTTTGACTCTGTAACTTACCTCATTTAATAATAATAGTATATATAA